ATGTTGAACTGTTTGTTTTTCAGTCTGTTGGTGTCAAACACTGACTGAGTCTGAGTCAGTCGTCATTAAACCTGGAGGATCTCACAGACTCACCTGTACATTCTCTGGATTTAGTAGTGACCCAAACAGACTGCAGGAGGAGGTCTGGAGTGGCTGGCATACATCTCTGGTGGTAGTAGTTATATATACTACTCTCAGTCTGTTCAGGGACGCTTCACCATCTCCAGAGACAACAGCAAGAAACAGATGTATCTGCAGATGAATAATATGAAGAATGAAGACACTGCTGTATATTATTGTGCAAGACAGACACAGCGATGAATACAGCTACAGTTCTGTACAAAAGCTGAAAACAACCATATAAACAGCTCACTATATAAAACTTCAGTGAATAAGTTAATTAAACTAATTAGATTTTTGCTTACACAATGCTATCAAATATCTGCAGGAGACTTTGGATGGAGGCATGAGCCATATGCAGTGTTGGGGGTAACTCATTACAAGTAATGCGAGTTACGTAATCAGATTACTTTTTTCAAGTAACTAGTGAAGTAACGGCATTACATTTTTAATTTACAAGAACATATCTGAGTTACTTTTTCAAAAAAGTAATGCCAGTTACTTTGCTTTCCCATTTATTGACATACAGCTCTCCTCACCCAATAATGGGAGAAATCGGGAGTGCAGAGGAGTTGTGTGCGCTGTGTGAACATGATGTTACTGTAGCTCTAGACTAAATGTGAATGTGCATTAATTCATCCCACTCACAAAAACAGATTTAGTATTCATCAAAATGAATTAAAACAGTGAAATCCAAACTCAAACAAACAAATATGTTAAATAACACAAATGTATCTAATCCCATTTTATTAACCAATATCTTTGCTGCTGACCTTTGATGATCCAGTTCAACCATACTAATAAGCAAAAATTACTTTAGATAAACTAACAATTGTGCTTTGTTTTTTTATTGCTGAAGAGTGTTTCTTCTCCTGCGTTCTACTGTACAGACGTGAATTTACTTTTGCTTCAGCCTGAGGTTTATTCATTACACTTTTTGGTCTGAAAGGGCTTTTATATTTGCTATAAATAGAACTTCTTATTAGGGATATGCCGGTATCAAATTTTCATGTTGCGATTAATTGCTAATGCTTTTATCACGGTATACGGTATTATCACGGTGTTGAAATTTAGTTTTAAAAAGTGCTGTCATAATACAGTATAACAGGTTTAATAACTTTTTTCTTATAACAAAAATAACTGAACATTTAAATGCAATAAAGCAATACAGAAAAAAATCAAAACACTTTCAAACAATATCTAGGGCATGTTGTAGTCAAGATTAAATTGTAAAAAAAGTTTGAAAATAAATAAGTCTAAATATTTAAGCAGTTGGTGCTGTGATGAACTTCATAGCCAATACACAAATCTGAGTGGCTGTTTAAATCATTTAAACACGATTCAGAAACAGAAAGTAGAGCAGCTGCTTTGTTTACAGGGTTTCATTTAAATGAATTATTATTATTATTATTGCTGCAGTTTAGCGCCATCTGCTGTCAGAAAGTGAAAGTGCGCTTTCATCCAGAGCATCTCTCACATGTTCCGCCGTGTGCTTCTCGTCTGCGCTTAATTACATCAGAGTGCGCACGCGTCTTTCACGCAGCATACAGCGGTGTTGTGCATTTTGACCAGTTGATGGGAAAAGTATTCTTAAAATGCATTCAAAATTCTGAATAACTTGTAATATATAATTATTCACGGTATTTAGAAGAGCCCACGATAACAATATCGTGCATATTCATTACCGTGATATATCGCATTACCGAATACGGCACAAGTCTACTTCTTATATTAAAAACAATCAAGCCCTGCTTATATTGAAAAAGTAAGGCGAAAGTAACGCAAAAGTAATATAAAGCATTACTTTCCATAAAAAGTAACTAAGTAACGTAATTAGTTACTGTTTTAGGGAGTAATGCAATATTGTAATGCATTACTTTTAAAAGTAACTTTCCCCAACACTGGTCATATGTACTAATTTAATGATGCATTTAGTGAAGCTCTGCTGGTCATTATTTACTTTTGTTGAGAGCAACATGAATGCCCCATACAACAGAAATACAAGGTGATTATTATTATCTTAGGTGCAATTTTGCTATTTGACAATACAGTATGTAGGGTCAAGGTTTGAACCTGAGTCCCCTTAGACAAAGGGCTCTCTCTGTTCCCCTCTGATGGCACACTCTCTCTCTCGTGCGCATGCTCAAACTCTTAAAGGGGACAGCACGCACAACTGCATCATAGTGAAAAGTCATTATTTACTTTTGTTGAGAGCAACATAAATGCCCCATACAACAGAAATACAAGGTGATTATTATTATCTTAGGTGCAATTTTGCTATTTGACAATACAGTATGTAGGGTCAAGGTTTGAACCTGAGTCCCCTTAGACAAAAGGCTCTCTCTGTTCCCCTCTGATGGCACACTCTCTCTCTCGTGCGCATGCTCAAACTCTTAAAGGGGACAGCATACACAACTGCATCATAGTGAAAACTTAAAGGGGGAAATCACCAGTGGAATTAAAAACTGGGCTATTCCTGCTCTGGTTACAAATTAATCAGACATTTTTTTTCCAAACACACACTAGCTGTCATTCTACATTTCCACTTTGAGGACCCGAAAAGCAACACAATTACTTGTGAATGAAAAAAATAAAAAATAAAAATTTCCATGTTATAATGAATACAAAACTAAATGTTGAATAGTACATTGCAGCAGTGATTCATTGATTCCACAAGAGGGAGTCCCTAATTTACAGTGAAAAGCTGACTTTTTTTGTCTGAAAATTTTAATTATAGAGACTAACATATCACAAAAATGTAATCAAAAACTGAGCCAAGACATTAA